AATTAAGCAAAAGACTTGTTCAAGGAATGGCGTCCAATTTTGCAACCACTTTTGCTGCTGTTGTTAAATGACTCACACGGTTAAGTGGATCTAGCTTAAATAATAATAATAATAATAATAATAATAATAATAATAATAATACTGTGGCAAAAGCAAGCAAGGGTAGTACCAATAGTGATAGGCTCCTTGGGTGCAATCCCAAAACAACTGGAGCACCACTTGAACACCATCATCGGCATTGACAAATTCCCAATCAGTCAATTGCAAAAGGCGGCCTTACTAGGAACTGCTTCCATCCTGCGACGATATCTGTAATACCATCAAACATCCACATCTGCCTATCCCAGGTCCTGGGTAAGGACTCGATAGGTAGACAAAATGCCAAATCCAGTCTGAACATCTGGCTGACTGTGCGATGATCCATAATAATAATAATAAAAGTTGGAAGGGACCCTGGAGGCTCATGCAGGTAACCCTATACCATTTCGGACAAATGGCTGTCCAATTATTATTATTATTATTATTATATAAAGCAATAATGAAAAATAGCCAGTGAATATATTGAAAAAGAAAACAAAAGCCAGGCAACCAATCCAAAGAACTCACAGGGAAGACTGGATGGACTTTTGAGTTGTTGTTTTTTTCCTGACGTCACTTTTCTGCTTTTCTGTGTAAAATATGCCGACTTCCTTCTCAACCCTCCTTCCCATTTTAGCAATTCGCCCTGCTGATATTTCCAGCCCGTTCCTCTTTGTAAACAGCGCCATTTAAAAAAACAAACAAAACAAAGTGGCTTGGCGAATAATCAAAGAGTTTCACAGCCAAAGGTCAGCTTGGCAAGACCAGAAAAACGTCTTTTTTGTCTTTTTTTTTTTTAAAAGAACTTAACGCGCCTCTCCTGATATTGCCTCTTTCGATCTGTTGGAAGTCAACCCGTGCTGCGGGGGATGATGGGCTTGGCACCCCTGCAAGCGAAGGCAGGCACCAGATCCCCTGCTTAAAGAGGACTGCATGCAGAAGAATGACAACATTGTCCATTTAGTGCAGTGGTTCTCAACCTTTTTAATGCCGCGACCCCAACTGGTCGTAAGTCGAGGACTACTCAACTGGTCGTAAGTCGAGGACTACTCAACCGGTCGTAAGTCGAGGACTACTCAACTGGTGCAGCACCGTTTGCAGAATGGGACTTTTGGCGGGCTCAGCAGGGCAGAGACAGCCTGGACAATTCCTATTGGCTTTGGAAAGCCATTAGAATTAGACGCTATTCAAGGGAGTCTATTCTATTGGCTTTCAAAAGCCAATAGAATAAAAGGGAGGAGCACAGCTAAGGAAAAGGGGGAAAAAATGGCGGACTGCGTTGTTTGGCGACCCCCGTGAAATGATCGTTCGACCCCAAATGGGGTCCCGACCCACAGATTGAGACTTACAATTTTTGCAGCATCCCCGATGGTCACGTGGTCCAAATTCAGACGCTTGGCAGCCGACTCATATTTACGACGGTCGCAGCGTCCCAGGGAGGGGTGTGTGTCACACAATCCCCTTTTGCGACAAGCCAAGTCAAGGGGGGGGGGAAAGCCGAATTCACTTCACAACCGTGTTCCTAACTTAACAACTGCAGTGATTCGTTTAACAACCATGGCGAGAAAGGTCGTCAAATGGGTCAAAACTCACAACAAACTGTCTCGCATAGTGACAAAAAAAATGTAGGCTCAGTTGTGGTGGAGAGGTGGGGATTACGAGCACGCCAAGCGTTGGGAATTGTGTACAAGCGTGCAAACGAGTGTTGTTGACTCAGAGAAGTGTGACTGGGTGGGAGAAGGAGAATGGGGGGGGGGGTGTTTGCTTGCTTTTTATAGCACCAGGAAGTCACTTTGGGAGAAAATCTTTTCGTCTCCGCAAAGTCTCTGGCAAAACCAGAAATGGGACAGGGGGCTACTGGGCTGGTTTCGAGACTGGTCAGGAAAAAAAAAAAAGGGGGGGGAATTAAAGATTAGAAGGAAGAAACGTGTGAACGGTGACTATCAGGGTGTTTATATTCCAATTTTTAGACCGGCTCGAAGGTCAAAGAGCAATTGCGATTTGGGGGGGGGGGTGAAAATCAGTCTGGAATCAATACTCAAAATGTGAACTCTTAATATTTTAATGTTTTAATACACGCTCTGAAATGGTGCAGGGTTTTCTGCCTGAGCAGGGGGTTGGACTAGATGACCTCCAAGGTCCCTTTCAACTCTGTTATTCTGTGAATCAGTGGAACAACCTGCCTCCAGAAGTGGTGAATGCTCCAACACTGGAAGTTTTTAAGAAGAGACTGGATAGCCGTTTGTCTGAAATGGTATAGGGTTTCCTGCTTGAGCAGGGGGTTGGACTAGATGACCTCCAGGGTAGCTTCCAACATCATCATCATCATCATCATTATTATTATTATTATTATATGTTCAGGGAATCTCCAAAGTTGGCAACTTTAAGCCTGGTGGACTTCAACTCCCCGAGGCTGGGAGGGGAATCCTGGGAGTTGAAGTCCACCAGGCTTAAAGTTGCCAACTTTGGAGATTCCCTGTTTCAATGTTTTTTTTCTACTGGTCATCCTCCTTCCACTTACGACCACATTTGAGCCTCCCATTTCTGTCGCTAAGCGAGGCAGTCATTAAGTGGGTTTCGCCTCACTTTACGACCTCCCTCGCCGCCGTTGTTAAGCGGATCACTGCGGTTGTTCGATTAGTCACAGGGCTGTGAAGGGGATCTGGCTTCGCTCGTCCGACGGTCGCAAAAAGGGGATCCCATGACCTGCAGGGACGCTGCGACCGTCGTAAGTGTGAGTCAGCTGCCCAAGGGTCTGAATTTTGATGGGGGGGCTGCTGCGCGGGTCGTAGGTGTGAAAAGCAGCCGTACGTCCTGAGGGTCTTCCCTTTCCCCCTCAGACGTGTCCCTTTTGGGGGTCGTCAATGCAGGGGGGCGAGGAAGGCTGCGGGGGGGGGGGGCAACAGGGGATCCACGCCAGGCCGGGTCCTCAAAGCCGCTGCTCCCCCGCCTTCACCTGCCGGACAGACTCAGCCTTTCCTTTCCACTTGTAGTAAGACCGGTTCAGCCTCTTGCATTTCAACATTTCTGGCATTCTGGGTTCAAAAAAAGAGCTATGTTTAAAAGTCTTTGGGGTAGGGGAGAGACAGAGAGAAGAAGGAAGGAAGGAAGGAAGGAAGGAAGGAAGGAAGGAAGGAAGGAAGGAAGGAAGGAAGGAAGGAAGGAGGGTGGGAGGGAGAGAGGGAGAGAGGGAGGAAGGAGGGGAGGGGAGGGATAAAAGGACAGGGAAGGAGGGTGGAAAGGAAAGAGGGAGGGAGGGAGAAAGGGAGAGGGAGGGAGGGAAGGCAGGCAGGTGGGAAGGAAGGTAGGAAGGTGGAAGGGAGGAAGGAGGGAGGAGGGGAGGCAGGGAGGAGGGAGGGAGGGAGGGAGGGAGAAAGGGAGAGAGGAAGGGAGGGAGGGGAGGGAGGGAGAGAAGGCAGGTAGGCAGGAAGGAGGGAGGGAGAAAGAGAGGAAGGGAGGGAAGGCAGGTAGGCAGGAAGGAGGGAGAAAGGAAGGGAGGGAGAAAGGGAAAGAGGAAGGAAGGAGGGAGGGCAGGAAGGGAGGGAGGGAGGGAGGGAGAAAGGGAGAGAGGAAGGAAGGAGGGAGTGGGAGGGAGGGAGGAGGGAAGGCAGGTAGGCAGAAAGGGAGGGAGGGAGAAGGAGAGAGGAAGGAAGGAGGGTGGGAAGGCAGGAAGGGAGGGAGGGAGGGAGAAAGGGAGACAGGAAGGAAGGAGGGAGTGGGAGGGAGGGAGGGAGGAGGGAAGGCAGGTAGGCAGGAAGGAGGGAGGGAAGGAGAAAGGGAGGGAGGGAGAGAGGAAGGAGGGAGGGAAGGGAGGGAGGGAGGGAGGGAGGGAGAAAGGGAGAGAGGAAGGAAGGAGTGGGAGGGAGGGAGGGAGGGAGGGAGGAGGGAAGGCAGGTAGGCAGAAAGGAGGGAGGGAGGGAGAAGGAGAGAGGAAGGAAGGAGAGAGGGAGGGGGAGGGAGGAAAGGCAGGAAGGGAGGGAGGGAGAAAGAGAGAGAGAGGGAGGGGGAGGGAGAGAGGGAGGGAGGGAGGGAAGGAGAAAGGGAGAAAGAGGAGGCGCAGCAGTAAAATCTGGCAAAGGCTTCTTGCAAAACCCGAAATGAGGCAGGGGGCTGCTGGTTTTTCTGGCTGGGGAATTCTGGGAGTTGAAGTCCACCAGGCTTAAAGTGGCCACGTTTGAGGACCCCTGTTGTAGAGGGCGTCTCCTTTGAGCCCTAAGCATTTGACCTGCTGCTCCAGTTTTACTTGCATTTGTCTGTTGTTATTCTCTAAGAATGGAAGGTGGCTGCTTTAGATCTGGCTTCAGCTGATCCTGGGGCTGTGGGGGCCTGGAGGCTCTCGGAGCTCAACAGGTTTTCTTGCAGACGTTTTGTGACCCGACTAAGTCACGTCACCAGTGCTACCGGGGTTTGGTCTCGGTTTATATACAGTGGCTTGTCCAGCCAGAGCTACCCAGTCAGGGAACTACCAACTCAAACAAGCTAACACCAAAACCAGCAGCCTAATCTAGGCACACTCCCACCAAAACTGACAGGGCAAACCACTAGAACTGATGATGTTACCTAGCTGGGTCATGAAACGTCTGCAAGAAAACCACCCAGCTCAGAAAGCACCAAGGACCCTAATAGTTCTTTTCTTCCTCCTCCTTCTCCTCCTCCTCTTCCTCCTCCTCCCCCTCCTCCTTCTCCTCCTCCTCTCTGCAAACCCCATCCCCTTCTAGCATTGATTATGTTACCTAGTTGGGTCATGAAACGTCCCCAAGAAAGCCCCCCAGCTCACAGAGCACCCAGGACCCTCATTTCAACCTTGAGCTAGAAATATTCTCTTCTCTTGCAGCGTTCGGTTTTATCGTGATTCTGCCCTCCAGGGTTGGTGGTGCAAGGCTGGGCCACTGACGTGCCGCTCTCCTTCCTTCCTCCCACAGGCGTTGCTTCCCTCACGGATCCCGAGAAGCCGGAGGCGAGAGAGGCATGAACTGACCCGCTCGTCAGGAACCCTTCGAACGCGTCCCCAGAGCCATGGCGGACGGGCCTTCGCTCGCCCTGGCCGAGTGGCTCCAGAAACTCCGCCTGGACCAGTACGTCGAGACCTTTGAGCAGAACCAGCTGAGATGCCTCCAGGACTGCCAGCACTTGAGCGACGAGAGCCTCACCCGCCTCGGCGTTCTGCTGCCCGGCCATCGCAAACGGATCCTCTCCGGGTTGAGCAAATTCTTCGCCGAGTTGCCGTCCAGCGCCGGACGTCCCCAGCTGCCACCGAGGAGGCCCGTCCCCAAGAAACGCCACATCTTCCGGACAGCTGGCTCTCTGCCGGAGCAAGAGGCCAAGCGTGACTTGGCGGGACCAAGTGGCAAGGGGTCGCCCCCGGAACGGGGTTCGGAATCCGCCCTTGGCCTTCCCCTTATTCCTCCTCCTATCCCTCCGAGGACAGGTTCCCACCCGCCAGTGAAGTTCTCCGCTTCTTTCCCGGTTTGCTCGGACCCCCGATGCCCTTCTCCGCAGCCGGCTTGCGGGAGACTCAGCCCCCCCTTCCCGGAGGAGGGGGCCAAGCCTCCACTGCCCCCTCTGCCCGCCAAACGCCACCAGGTGGAGAACAGGCCCGCCATCCCGGCGGTGGCGGCACCGCCCGTCCCCGTGCGCCCACCCACGCTGCCTCCCCGGGTGGTCTCCCAGAGAGCCCTGCCAAGGTAAGCTGACACCTGTGTGCACGACAGGGGCGGGGAGTTGTGTAAGTGTGTGTTGTACGTGCGTAACGAGAGACGCTTCCGCACGTCTCCAAGCAACAGGAGTTCGGTTCACGGAAGGCGAGAAAATGGAAGGCGATGCCTGGATTATTTTGGGACGGTGTAAAGTTGTGTGTTAGGCACAGCGTAGGTGGTCCTCAACGGCCCCAGGATTTTTTTTTATTATTATTGAAAATTTTTAAAATTTTTACAAGAAAAAAAACAACCCTCCCCAACCCACCCCAGCCCTCCCGTTCCCTCCCTCAACCTTCCCAGAGTTGAATATAGGCTTAGTTAAAGTTTCTTAAATTCTTTAAAAAAAAGTATAAACCATAGATAAGTCTAAATACATTACTTAAACAACTAATAAAGTAATTAACAATAATATATATATATATATAAAAACATAAATATTAAAAAATAAAAAATACTTAAAAAGAAAAAGAATAAAGAAAAAGAAAGAAGAAAGGAAATATAAGAAAGTAGAGTAATAATAAAAAATATAAAGAAAAAAAAAGTAATTCAATCTATAAAATATTAAAATTTATATATAAGTTATTGAAAAACTAAATAATATTTTTTTATATCCAACTTGGATATAAACCAGAGTTGACGGCCCCAGGATTTTTGTTGCTAAAAGAGGCAGGTTGTTAAGCGAGTCTTGCCCCCTTTTACAACCTCGTTCAGCGGATCACTGCCGTCGTTCAGCATCCCGGTGGTCGCGAGATCAGAAGACGGACGCTGGGCAACGGACTCATATTGGGGACATTTATTGCAGCGTCCCGGAGTCACGTCATCTCCTTGCGTGACCTTCCTTCTGACCGGGAAAGTCCGGATTCACTTAACAACCGTGGAACTGACTTAGCAGCCGCAGTGATTCGCTCAGCGACAGGAGCAAGAAAGGTCGCCAAATGAGGCGTGACTCGCTTAACAGCCACCTTGATTAGCGATGGAAATGTCAGGCTCAGTTGTGGCCATACGTCGAGGATCACCTGCAGGGCAATAATCTCCAGTCAATGTCTCTGCCACTATTTTCCCAAACCTTTCCCAAAGCTGGCTGAGGAATTCTGGGAATTGAAGTCCACAAGTCTTAAAGTGGCCATGGTTGAGGACCCCTGCGTCTAAATCAGTGGTTCTCAACCTGTGGGTCGGGATCCCATTTGGGGTCGAACGACCATTTCACGGGGGTCGCCAAACAACGCAATCCGCCATTTTCCCCCCCTTTTCCTTAGCTGTGCTACTCCCTTTTATTCTATTGGCTTTTGAAAGCCAATAGAATAGACTCTCTTGAATAGAGTCTAATTCTATTGGCTTTCCAAAGCCAATAGGAATTGTCCAGGCTGTCTCTGCCCCGCTAACCCGCCAAAAATCCCATTCTGCAAACGGTGCTGCACCAGCTGAGCGGTTGAGTAGTCCTTGACTTACGACCGGTTGAGTAGTCCTTGACTTACGACCGGTTGGGGGTCGCGGCATTAAAAAGGTTGAGAACCACTGGTCTAAATGAATTAAATCCCAGTCTAATCTTGCTTTCTCCTGATGGGGGCCTCCAAATACATCCAAACCCACAACTCCTGAACATCATGGGCAGTTCAGGCTCGGAATTATGGGAGTTATCATCACCACACCTCTGGAGGAGATCTTAGGCTGAACCTTATGCTTGGGATTGGTCTAGGCCAGGGGTAGGCAACCTTGGCTCTTTTATGACTCCTGGACTTCAACTCCCAGAATTCCTGAGCCAGCATGGGAGAAACTTTGGCCCCTTCATGACTCGTGGACTTCAACTCCCAGAATTCCTCAGCCAGCATGGGGGAACTATGGCCCCTTCATGACTCCTGGACTTCAACTCCCAGAATTCCTCAGCCACCATGGGGGAAACTTTGGCCCCTTCGTGACTCGTGGACTTCAACTCCCAGAATTCCTCAGCCAGCTTGGGGGAACTATGGCCCCTTCATGACTCGTGGACTTCAACTCCCAGAATTCCTCAGCCAGCTTGGGGGAACTATGGCCCCTTCATGACTCGTGGACTTCAACTCCCAGAATTCCTCAGTCAGCCTGGCTCAGCTTGGAAACCTCTCCCTTTCCCCTCAGCATGGCTGGCTCAGGAATTCTGGGAGTTGAAGTCCACCAGTCATAAAAGAGCCAAGGTGGCCTACCCCTGGTCTAGGCCCTGTTTACCTTGGCCATTTCCAGGCGTGGGGACTTCAGCTCCCAGAATTCTCCTCAATGGCCACAGTGGCTGAGGAATTCTGGGAGTTGAAGTCCACACGTCTTAAAGTGGCCAAGCTTGAGGACCCCTGCAGTAAAAGACACAGCTGTCTAAGCCTGTTAACCAGTTCTTCCAGCTTCTTAACCCTCCTTCGCCTGACCTTAGATCCACTCCAAACTATCATAGCAACCAGCTTTGCCAACCCACTGTTTTCTCAGCCAGAAGTATTTGCAGAAACAAGTTTCTGGTTCCGTGGAAGGAAAGTCCTGCCTCATGTTGCAATGACACGTTGGCCAACCATTGTGAGGAAAAAGGGGCCGGTCGCGGAAGGCAGAAGCCCGGGTGCCGAGAAGGGGCTCTAGAGCAGTGGTTCTCAACCTTTTTAATGCCGCGACCTCCAACTGGTCGTAAGTCAAGGGCTACTCAACCGGTCGTAAGTCGAGGACTACTCAACTGGTGCAGCACCGTTTGCAGACTGGGACTTTTGGTGGGCTCAGCAGGGCAGAGACAGCCTGGACAATTCCTATTGGTTTTTGACAGCCAATAGAATGAGAGTCTATTCAAGAGAGTCTATTCCATTGGCTTTCAAAAGCCAATAGAAGAAAAGGGAGTAGCACAGCTAAGGAAAAGGGGGAAAAAATGGCGGACTGCGTTGTTTGGCGACCCCCGTGAAATGGTCGTTCGACCCCGAATGGGGTCCCCACCCACAGGTTGAGAACCACTGCTCTAGAGGACTCAACACCCTTTTGTTTATTTCATTTATATCCTGCCTTTATTATTTTTTACAAATATCTCAAGGTGGCGAACAGACCTAACGCCGAGAAAGCTGAGAAAAATAGCTGCAGGAGGTTCCCTTTTCCATGGAAAAGGTCCTGCAGAGCATAAACAGAGGGCAGACCTCAAGTGGCCTCCTTCGAACAGCACAAAGGAGAACTGGTGGTTTCCTAGTTGCCATTCTTCTCTGGAAGCCCTTGGCCTAACCAGGATCAGCGTGCATAAAAAGGGAAGGTCCGAACACAGCACTGAGGATAGAGAGAGAATCGGAAATGACAGGCCATAAACCCTGACTCAAGTCTCAAAGATTTACATAGAATTCTAGGCCTAAAAGCACTTCAGAGGTCATCTAGTCCAGAGGTCCCCAACCTAAGGGCCACGGCCCACTACCGGACTGTGTCCTCATGGCCAGGGCTTTTCAACCAGTGGTACGGGTACCACCTGTGGTCCATTGGCATCTGGCAGGTGGTACGCGAGCATCCTAGAAAAGGGGTAGCGAGGGAGGGGAATGAGCTGAATCGGGGGCAGCACCGCACAAGCCTGAGCGAGAGACGGCTGGAGCTGCAGGGCTGTCGGGGCTCAGCGGAAGCGCCAGGATCAGTGCCAGGATCGAGCTGGAGCTTAGCGCTGATCCTGGTGCTTCTGCTGAGCCCAGAAGAAGCACCCATCAGCTGGAATGTTGCAGCATCTCCAGGATCTTCTGATTTACATTCAGATGCTTGGCAACTGATTCATATTTATGATGGTCATGGTGTCCCAGGGTCATGTGAAGTGACCAAAACCTGCTGCAACCACCCATCAGATGGGGGGAATAAAAACCAAACACCCCCCCCCCCACCCCCACTGCCAATCCTCAACAGAAATGCTCACAACAATGGAAACCTGGGACAGGAGGAACAGCGTCACCGGGTGGGCAGGCCGGTGTCTTGCTCGGCTGTGGCTGGGGGGACACTTTTTTCAGTGCCATTGTAACTTTGAAGAGTCACTAAGCGAACTGTTGTAAGTCGAGGACTACCTGTACTTTATCACTTTTTTCCTTTTTTTTTGGTTATCAAGTTTTTGACCCCTTGCTAGGCGACTGGTGGTACTCGGATGTTGCCATACCCTAAAAGTGGTACAATGGGTGAAAAGGTTGAAAAGCCCTGCTCTTGGCCACCGGGCCACATGTGTAGCTGGGCAGTACACGTGCATGTGCACGTGCTCACCCCCCCTCGTGCCACCGTTGCCGTGACTGTTGTGTGGGTGGTGGGAGCGCCGCTAGTATCGTGCAGGTGGCGGTGTTGCCACGAACCTTGCGTGGGGGGCAGCAGCACCGTGAGCGGCAGGTGGGCGGCGAACCTTGTGCAGGGGGGCGGCAGCATCACAAGTGGCAGGTGGAGCACAACACGAACCTCGTGCAGGGGTGGCGGCGTGACCCTCGTGCTGGGGCGGGATCACTGCGGGCCACACTGTGGCAGACTGTGGCAACTTTGGGTGGTCAGTAATGAACAATTGTAAATCCAGGATTACCTGTACTTTGGAATTCCTTGTGTCTCCCATCCAAGTGCTAACCGGCTCCGTCCCTGCTTAGCTTCAGGTAGAATCAGGTGGGCACTGCCACCTGCTGGCCCATATCAACATGACATCAAAAACCAGCCCTGTGTTCATGAGTCTGTTCCAAAATGGGAATTGAAAAGGAACTTTTAACTTGGGTTTTCCACCCAGGTTTTGCTACGAATCTACTGAGATTATCGTACGGATGTAAGAGAAAAGTAAAGGATGCAGCTTCCTAGCACATTCAGAGTGTGTGGGAAGGGGAATTCAGCAAGGATGGGGCCTGGAGGCTAAAACGTATAAGGAACGGTTGCAGGAATTGACTATATCTAATTTAATGAAAAGAAGGACTAGGGGGGACATGATAGCAGTCTTCCAGTATCTCAGGGGCTGCCCCAAAGAAGAGTTGGGTGGTCCACCTATTCTCCAAAGCACTTGAGGGCAGGATGAG